GGGCGTCGCTGAGAGAAGGAGGGGGCGGCGGGAGGGAGGGAGGGGGTGACAGCGGCCAGTGGCCGTCCCGTCCCCCTGCCAGACCCCTCTCCCTCAGGCTTCCCAGTCCCCGAAGAGCAGAAGGGAGAACCGTGAGAGGCGTTTGGACTGTTTGACCCTCATGGCTTGGGCCATAACGTGTCAGCGACACCTTATAGGCCCAGAAGCTGTAAAAACGCAGCGTGTTTGCTGGTGACAACGAAGGCTGGGGGGTTAATACATGAGAATTTTAACCTCTTCCCATTAGGCCTGGATGCTAACACTGCTTTGATTCTGCTTTTGCCCACATTATGTTCATGCCCAAGTCTGGGTTCTGACAAATCCTAGCAAAACACGTGGGGGTTGTGGCTGGCGACTTCTTCCTGCATCGTTTTCCCCACTCATGAGCCAACCGGTGGCACTAAAAGCATGTCCTAATCCCGAGTAAAAAGCGAAAAATGAAAGCAGAGTCCAGCAGATGCAAAATTGTCAAGTTTTATTCAGTAGCAGAACCATGTTCCTTCCTTTTGCCGCAAATTCATCTGTTCTGTGTGGTGGAGCTATGCGGGGAGCTTTGAAGTACTGGCAAAGACGGATGAGTAGGGGATCTCAGAAAGGGACCGATTCCTGTTGATGCATGAAGGGCACGGGTCAGGTCAGCCCAGTCGTGGCTGACCTCGGGCAGCTCCTCAACCACTCGGGGGCCAAAGACAGCGTCTGTATTTGAGCCCCAGGGCAACCTGGCTTCTGCATGCCGGCTCGATGCATGCCCACACCGCAATTGCTGCCAGTTTGCTGTCAGCAAGTGGTGTCTCCATGGCAGAACATGGCAACTCTCTCATTACTCTGGAGTTCTTCCTCCTCAGCAGCCACCAGTGGGCCGGTGGGGGGGGGAAGAACTCCGTTTAAGTGGGAATTTGCCTGTTGACATGTGGGTGTAAAAGGGGAAGAACCTTATCCAAAGCTCAGCGCTCCAGAGGAGATGGGTTCTGTGGCTTTGTGGCCTTCAGGCAAGCCTGACCACTTCTTTGACCATTTTTCCGATGCCATCGTAGATCTCGTGAATAGGGGCATTGCACATGAAGGCGCTGGTGGTCACCAGCTTGTTCTTCACGTCCACGTGAATTTCAGTGACGTGTTTGTTCACGTGCTTGCAACCGAGTTCCTTCATGGTCTCTGCAGTCTTGGCGTAAGGCCATCTACAAGGAGAGAAGAGAATAAACCCTGTGTGGGGAAGCTGCCATTACACAGAGCGATTTGACGAGGGCCTGGAGTGAAAAGTCGGTTGATTACGGAGATGGATGGTCCCTACAGAAAGCCTGCTCAGTAGGATCCAGATCTTCTCCTGTGAGTGGAGTTTCTCTGGGACTATAGAACCAGGAAAACCTCCAGGTTACAGTGAGCTAAAAATCTGAAGTAAACCCAAAATAAGACCTAGATGTTCCACTTCTTCACTCTGCCCACCCCAGACTTTGTGTTTAGCTGGGAGGGGGTTTTCATCAGCTTCCTACAGGTGACATTACTTCCTAGCCCTTCCTGACGAGAGCCATCACGGTTCCTTCCCTGCCGTTGGGAGAATTCAGTCACAGCTTTGCCCGGTGAGTGAGGCCAGTTTAACCCCCTCCCTCTCTTAATGCTACCAGGTCTTGTGCAACCATCCTCTTCCCGCCGAGGATCTGCTCAACGTTACGAGTTGGAGCTCTGCTGTCTTTAATGCCCCGGGACCAAGAGGTGCACGAGACGGGGTGCTACGTGCATTGGGGAGGCAAACGCAAGATTGTATTTAAAATAAAGTGCGTAATTTTAAGCCATCAGACTTGTGGAATGAAATATACAAAAATACAAACAATCGGGCTGGTACAGCCCTGGTCTGCTGGCAAAGAGTAAAGCAATTCTTCCAGGCACTTGAGGGGGTTCAGCTTTTGACTGTTAACTCTTCGCGTTAAATCTTAAACGCTTCGCTCTAGAGGCAGCGGCTGCAGCAGAGTGTGGCTGCGGAGCGGCGTCCGTCTGAGGTGAGAGCCTCCGTGGTGGAAGGAAACGAGCTCCCCTGCCCTTCTGCTGCTCCTCTTTGTTCCCTCTGGTATCCTCCTGCTCTACTCTCTGGCAAGGAAAGGGCAGACTCCTCCTTTCCAGAAGTCTGAACATCTCCCTGACTCTAAATCTAATTCATTCCTTCAAGGTTCTTGCAGTTTCTTGTGCCCCCGTACGGTAAAATACCCCCAGTACAGAAAACTGTAAAAAGTAAAATCAGATTTCTCGTTTTAACAGAAGACATACATAGGGGAATATCTAGGTGACAAGGGGCACACCAGAAACTCTGATTATTTCATTTATCAGCCAGGGTTAATGTAATAAACGCATGGCGTGGATCGTTTGTTCTCAGAAATAACAAGACTTCAGGTAGCAGGGCAGGGGAGTTGGGACAGGGTGCTACATGCGTTGGGGAGGCATTGCTGGTTCTGTGGTGTTCGTGGTGTGGTTTCACATCGGCACTCCGGGGTTACTTACTTCTCACACTCCGTGTCGTGACCCACAGTCAGCTCGCAGCCTGGGAAGATTTTGGCCGCCAGCACTGGGGAAATGCAGCACAGGCCGATGGGCTTTTTGGCAGCGTGGAACGCCTTCAGGACATCCTCCACCTCTCTGGAGATGGTGCAGTTCTTGCCTTGGGTGGCCCAAGTACTCAAGTTTTTCGCCACTCCAAAGCCACCTGAGAAAAGAGAAACATTACGCTGAAAGATTAGCACTCCGGGGCAGGATTTTTTCGGGTATTAGTGAGTAGAATGCCAAAATGGATCTGGTGGATGGCAGCGTTTGTCCAACGTGGATAAAACCAGACAAGCTGAACCCTGGTGAGCTGACTGCCAGGAGATGAGACATCAAAGCACCTTTCTTGCTTCCGTACAGAACTGAAGCGGGGAGGTACCAATTGTCTGCTGGGTGCTGTGTTTCACCCATGGGTTCTTCTCTGAGTTATGGTGGAACACGCTGACGAGTTTGCGCTTGTCTCTTAATCCTTGCTCCGGGCCTAATCCATCCCCTCTGAAATCACACCAGGTCCTACTTTCCCTGAAGATGAATTGCCAAACTGACCAAGCTTTCTGCTTTTGAGTCACCCCCGGCTCTGTCTCAGCCTCTTCTTCTCCTGGTAAGGAGCTAGGCATGTTGGTGAGGGAGGGGATAGTTTTACAGTCTAAAAAAAAAAAAAAGCGCTCAGTAGATGGTACAGAGAATAATTCAGTTGGGAGTTATCTGCCCTCTCCCCTTGGGATGAACTTCTGCATTGGCATGTGCTCCTACCTACGTCCAGTGCCAGGACAGAGGGAAGATGTCTGTCCTTCCAGTCCCTGCTTCCAGCATGGCTTCTTCCCCAGTGGCTCTCCCCGGTTCCCCTCCAGCCCATGACTCCCTCGTCGTTCAAGGCTGCCCCCAAGAGTCTGAGCATGCAGACCCCACGGGCCGTCTCACCTGGTATGATGAGGGCATCCAGCCCCTTGACATCCAGCTGAGCGAGATCCTTGATGTTGCCCCTGGCTATTCTGGCACTTTCAACCAGCACGTTGCGCTTCTCCTGAGTCGGCTGTCCTTTCACGTGGTCCACCACGTGCATCTGGTCAACATCAGGAGCATAAACCTCTGCCTGGGGAGGGAGGGGAAAGGTCTGTTATCTTTCAGTCATGTATTCTAAGCATGTTGTGACTGGAAATGCTTGAGTTCATTAGGAAGGATCTTTGCTGGTGAATGCAGTGACCTTCAGGCTCACCTGTACCTGATACTGGCATCGGGAAGGTTGTTGTCATAGGGAGGAGAAAGAAAGAAAGGTCTTTTGTGGCTTCTGCACCGGGACATTTAACCTGACCTTAAAGGAATGAGGGTATTTGTAGGTGAAAGCCAAGAAGCTAGCCCACACTGCTGGTTTTGGGGGCTGCTGGAGAGGGAGCAGTGACTCCTTTCCTTCCTAGGAAGACGAGATGTCCCATGGGTAAAACCATTTCTTAGAGGTTTGCATCTGCGTCCCAAGCCGTCACCTTCATTGGGGCAGCCCCAGCCCTGCCCCAGCTGCCCCCCCAAAGCCACCCATCCCCTATGGGTGCTGACTACCCACCAAGCTGCTGCCAAACCACATGCCTCCCTCAAAGAGAGGACTTTTGAGTTTCTTCTCCCCACCCACTGTTTTCCCAAAGCTAGAGTATTTCTTTTTTTTTTCTGGAAAACACTTCGCCTTCCTTCAGAACTGTTTCAAGCTCACATGCAGAAATTAAAGAGTGGAGGGTGGCAGACAGATGGGTGATAAATTTTGGGACTGTACAACCTTTGCAGGTCTGGGCCCCACAATTTAAGAAGGGTGTTAAGGTACTCAAAGGTGTCCAGAGGAGGGCGACAAAGCTGGTGAAAGGGCTGGAAGGAATGTCCTGTGAGGAGCAGCTGAGGACTTTGGGTTTGTCTAGTTTGGAGGAGGCTGGGGGGTGACCTCATTGCTCTGCAGTTTCCTGAAGAGAGGACATGGAGAGGGAGGTGCTGAGCTCTCCTCCCTGGGATCCAGGGACAGGGCGCGTGGGAGTCCTTCAAAACTGCCCCAGGGGCGGTTTAGGCTGGACGTTGGGAAGCATTTCTTCACCGAGAGGGTGGTCAAACCCTGGGAGAGGTGGGCGATGCCCCGAGCCCGTCAGTGTTTAAGAGGTCTTTGGACAATGCCCTGAGCTTGAACTTGGTCAGCCCCGAGGTGGTCAGGCAGTTGGACTGGGTGAACATTGCAGGTCTCCTCCAACCAAAGTACTCCGAGCTATGCTATGTTATTCTTTGTTTCCTTAGGCAAGCGTGACCGAAAAATAAAAGGAGAGGGTTGAAATAACGCCTGAGTTTCCTCCACGAGAGGTCCCTGCTGATCAAGGGATGAGGGCAGGACCGTGCTCCGAGCCTGGCAGTTCAGGGCATGGCAGGAGGGAAGCGACTGCAGCAGCTCCAGGAGAGAAGGAGAGGCAAAACGACACGCAGCGGAGAAAAGGTTTGGATGAGTCTCGCTTTAAGCCAGAGAATGCCCGTTTTGAAGGCTTTGGAAGTGGGTGGGCTGGCTCTGCAGCACGGGTACATCACCACTGTGCCTTTGTATCTAATGGAGCACTTCTGATTCCCAGAAGAATGGCTCTGACCCGGATTTATGGGTGGCTCAGAGCTGAGGGAAGTGTTCCACAGGGCTTCTCTGCCTCCTCTTCCCGTCTCTCAGAGCGGCTATCGTGACTAGTGGCGTATTAGAGCAGCTGCTTGAGGGTCGCCTTCTTTACCCCTATTCAAGTTCAACTCACAAGAACTTGTCTATTTCCAGTTCTAATCTTTGGGGCTTTAAAAAGATTAACTTCAAACAGCCAAAACCAATAGTAGTCATTTCAACAAAAATCCTGAAGCAGAAAAGAGGAAGGGCAAGCCAAAAAGAATAGAGAATGCATTTAGGAAAGTTTGTTTCAGGTTCGCTCAACACAGAGCACGAAGCCAGTCCTCTCGTACAGCAAAGCTGCGAGAGCAAAGCAGAGCCCAGGGAGTGCTCCACGCTCGCTGTAGCAGCTCCTGTGCTGTTTGCTTTGACTCCAGTTTACCCGAGGAGCTTGTGGTTTGTCTGGCAAACTGCAAAGCTCCTTAGAGACACGTGCCTTGGCGAGAGAGAGAGGTGGAAAAGCAGAGCAGGGCAAAAAGAGCCAGAGATGGGGCAGGAGCCTGCCAGGGTGCCTCTTACCTGTGCCCCCTCCCTACTGAGATGCACCAGCACAGCCGAAGACTCGTGGATCTCGCTCCCGTCGTACACCCCGCAGCCAGCCAGCACGACAGCCACTCTCTTTCCCATGGTCACAACCAGAGCAGGAGGATTCCCTGGAGAGCCCCAAATTGCTGTGCATCTCTGTTCACTGCCTGGAGTCTTTTATAGCGTGATCCCTCCCCCAGGAGCAGGTGGGGCCAGGAGGGTTGGGCTGAATTTCTTCCTGGCAAGAAGGTTTTATTTCCAGTGCCACAAGCAGGGCATGTAAATATTATTTGTTTCCTCAACTGGCTGCTCCCTTGCAGATCTTCTTCCCAGCACGTTGTCTCCAAAGCATCCCCAGCTGACATGACCTGTTTGACAAAGCAGCTGTGTTTTTCCTTCTCAGCTGTCGATTTTCCGTTCTATTTCAGACTAAAGTACCAAAGCCTTTGCACATAAGACGGTATCAAAGGGAGCCCACCCAGAGCAAGTGTTCAAGCCAGTGTATTCCCTTCTCTGCCCAATTTTTTAAAACCCTGCACTGCACAGGTAGCCTTCATCTTTTAACACCAACATTTCCTTCTCTGAACTTAAATGTTCTTATGCTCATGTCCCATCTCTCAAGAGCAGACATTTTGCACTCGGCTGTAGTTGTTGCCTGGCCTTTGGGCCCGGAGGTTGGGAGTCAATCACTTGGTTCTTTATCAACGGCACCACCTCTCCATTTGCCAGGAAAGCGGTACCAGGAATTGGCAGGGCCCCGACCTCTGTAGGGGCACGTGGCAGCAAGGTTCACAGCATGGGATGGGGAAAATCCCTTGCTCGTGCAGGGACTTGTTCTTCCTTGTCCTTGATATGCTCACACCCGAGACGATTGCCCCTCTGTTTCAGCTTTGCACTGTGGAAGTAACTGCGGGCTGCGGACTCTGTCTTGCCATTCTGCAGAGAACAAAAAATTCATGCAACATGGCTGAAGAATGTTTTTCGGGGGTTATTTATGAGAAATTTTCCTGGGTCTCTGTCGTATTTGGAAGAGACATGAAGTGCATCCTGTGTATAATGAAATAGTGTTTTGGCAAGTTCGTTAGCCATAGCAGTGACTGTATGTGGTATGGTGCTACCAGGCACCACATACTCCTACCTGGCACGTGAGAAAAGCCTTGCAGTCCAGCCAATCTAACAGGCTTTTCCTTGTAGTTACTTTTATTACCCAGAACGGGAATTAAACTTGAGATAAGTGTGGAAAACACCCAAAGCCTTTTTACTGCTGTTTGTTACGGTATCTAAGGTATTCTAACGGTGGTTGGGAAATGTATTCTTTCCTCTTGCATGAAAAAACCATCTGAATCATGCTGCAACTTGAACAGGTAGTTTCTTCCTCCTTCAGCTGGTTAGAGGGCAGTCCCGTTAATGATGGGACAAAGACAGCCAGAGGTTGGCGATTTAAGCAAACTTACTGCTTGCTGCAAACCGCATCATTTAGCTCTGCCTGTTGCAAACTACTGACCTGGTTCCCCTTACTGATACGGTTGGTGAGGTGTAACGGGACAGACCGGGCTTGTTCCAGTGCTTGCTTCCTCTTGTAATATCTCAATAGACATTTTGAACCTAAAGATCTATCTGCAATACATATATCCTTGATAAATAACACTTTTCAGCTGAGTTATTCCATTCTGTGTGGGAATGTCTGCACGCATTTATTATGGTAGGGACATTGGGCTTTAATATTAACACCTTCCTTTCATCTGCATTAATACTTTAGTGAAGATGGGGGTGAAGGAACCCTGTTTCCTCAAAGCTCTTCTTGAAAGGAGAACACAGTTAAAGGTAACTGTCCTCCAAAACACTGAAGAAACCTTGGGAGCCATTACGTGGATCTGGCTGCGCAGTCAAAGCACGCCATCGTGCTCCAGCTGGCTCAGAGAGCAGGAGGAGCAGGGTCTTTTGGCATGATCCATGGACCCTGACAGTCTGGGATTGTTCTGGTTGCTGCTACAGATCTAGTGCCTCTTGGACGATCCTGGAGGCCTCTCTCTGAGTTCCGATCTGTGCAACTCTTAAGCCCCGTTTCCAACAGCTTTTCTGTCCTCCAGCCCTGGCTGGGGAGCATGGCGTACGGGGGAGCATAGAGCAGGATCTGCCAAGGGGAACACCACAGCTTGCTGCGGTAGGGCCTCTCCAGGGGCATCCTTGGCCGGCCCAGTGACATTCGTGTGAAGCTCTTTACACTGTTGTGCATCTTTTTTCTTGTCAGGAGGCCGAGAGTGGGATTTGCTTTAGCTGGGGCTGGTGGGACCAGGAGTTGAGTCCTTCATGGGAATAGGCCCTACGCTGGTGCATTGGACACAAACAAGATGGTGGAGGAACGTGCAGAAGTGCGGGCAAGTGTTGGCTCTGCTTTCCACCAAAGCTCTGTTGGCTCTCACAGAACAGCTCTCTGCCTAATTCCCACTTGACCTGTGACCCAGCATGATCCCGAGGCCGGGGTCCACTGCTTTCTGCAGCGTTGGTGAAGACCTTTCTGCCCTGATCACGGATTTCCATGGGAAGCCGTAGGAAGAGGTCCTTCATGTCGCCTTTGGGGTACAGCAGCGACTGTGGTGATGACTGACACTCACTCACTGTCTGCCCAGTTCTTCTGGAAGGCCAGGATTTATCCTCACGCTGGCGGCCTCCAGTCTGCACGTTTGCCTTGGCACCTCACTCATGAAAACCACTTAGGAGGAGTTCCCTCCTGCGCGCAGAGAGGCTGGATTAGGGAGATGTGGGGTCACACATGGACAGAAGTCACCTCTAAGGGAATGGCACTGGGTTTGCCCAGCACAGGACAGCAGTGCCAGGCATTTATAGCTGTGACAGGAACAAACAGCAGGACCATGGCCAGTGTTAGGAGAAATAAGTGGTCCCCAGGGAGCTTCTGGGCTTGCAAAGTACTTGTTTGCTCCAGCAAGATGGATTCTTTAAAAAACCTTAATTTTGACTGGTGTAATTTCCTCGCTGGCAGTAGCAAAAAGGCAGCAATGGTAATAAACCCTCCACCTTATTTTTCAAGTGTCTTTTTTAACAAGGGTTAATCAACAGTAAAATTAGCAGGCCCCCGGAGGGAGCTACCAGCAGTCCATGCTGACTCAGAGACCGAAATTTATTGCACCAAGGAGCTGGTTTGCATTTCCTCCCGCGTGCA